AGCTCTTGATCCATGAGCCAGTCGGTTGCATCTCCTTCTGTTGGCAGCTGGCACAGTTAGCAAGTACATGGCAAACATAGCAAGCATGGGTTCCTGGTTCCCAGTGGAAAATATGTCTAGAACATTAAAACAAAACTGCTGGCATAAAGGATACTTGGTTTACAATACTTCCTTTTGAAATTCTTCAACCTTCACATGACTGTTCGAATTTTTTAAATATCTGGTCTCCAAAGTGACATTAGTCATCTTATTTTTTATTTATTTGTTTTCAATCTTTGCACCCTAGAAGATGCTAATTTCCTGTGGAAACTAAGGTTATAACAAATGTAAAGCCAGCCCACTGACAAGCAAAGCTGGAAATAACCAAATGAGTCTCAAAATTCTTGGGAGTTTTATTAGAAAGAGAAAAAAAGACCTGTCCATAATATCAGTGATTCTAAAGTCCAAGAAGATGCTTGGTCAGGATCAAAGTCTGAAAACAAACTCAAGAGAGCAAGGGCTTCTTCAGGACATTTGATCAGCAAAAATGTTCTGCCACTTAAACTGGAGAGTGTAATGAGCATTTCTATAAGCAATCTTATAACTGCAGAGCTCTAAAATAGCCCAGATGTCACAGAGAAGAGATATTTCTGCATGAAAGCTAATAATGGAGAATGTTTGAAATGAATCCTCAACACATATGACTGCCTTTTAACCTTATCTTGACCTCGATCTTGAAGGATTTCAATTGATTTTTTTTTTTTATTCTAAGCTAGGTATCTATCAGTCAAGACAATAGTTCCAACAGCATTAGACACTTGTTCTAAGCTGGTCTAAGCTTTGAACTGATAATCAATTAAAAGCAGTGGTTTTCTGTACATGCTATTTCAGAAGAAAAAGGCAAAAATCATACCCTAGGCATTCTGTTTTTAATTGAAAGAAGACTGCATACTAGTGTGGATTTTAAAACATTTCTATTTTCCCTAAGTAAATAGGTTAATGGATATTAATGGCTTATTTCAGTAATACTCATAAAACTTCACATTTAGTCTTACACAGGAACTGCATTTGTGATACATAACAGAACTTCTTCATGGAGTTACCATCATTAAAAGTTTTATGTTAAAAAAATCCTAAAAGTATTCCAAAAAATGAATCCTGGCATAAGCAATTAATGGTGTGAGTTCCTAAAAGCATCAAGAAACATCACAAACAGTGTGCTTCTGTGAAGGTGTGATATCTCCAAACTAAACAACTCAACAGGAAAAATCCCAGTCTGAAACATGGTCACATTCAAATTAATTTCTCTCTCTTTCATGTTTCTTAAACTCTGCCACTCAACTGCATGACACTTTCAAATTTTTAGCACAAACTAAATGATTGGTATGACCAAAAGTTTTGCTTAAGATGAACACCACTTTCTGTCTTTTCACTCTCATCGCATTTGATCAGATTTATTTATCTCTCTGAGATGACCTAGAGTTTCCCATCAGAGCCTATATGGGTATTTGACATCAGTTATATTTTTAGATACACTATGTCTTAAAAAACAGTTAATGTACTCTAACTGAAAAATACTTTATCACTAAAATATGCCAATCATCATCTGAGCCTTCAGCAACTTGTAATCTTTTTCCTGGTGGAGGGTCTTGCCTCAATGTTGATGGTCACTACTGGCTACTCAATGTTGATGGCCACCACTTGGTTGCTCAAGGTTGAGGTACTTATGGTAATTTCTTTCTTTTTTTTGAGACGGAGTCTCGCTGGGTCGCCCAGGCTAAAGTGCAGTGGCATGATATTGGCTCACTGCAAGCCCTGTCTCTTGCATTCACACCATTCTCCTGCCTTAGCCTCCCGAGTAGCTGGGACTACAGGTGCCCGCCACCATGCCTGGCTAATTTTTTGCATTTTTAGTAGAGACTGGGTTTCACCATGTTAGCCAGGATGATCTCAATCTCCTAACCTCATGATCCGCCCGCTTCGGCCTCCCAAAGTGCTGGGATTACAGGTGTGAGCCACCACGCCTGGCTAGCTATGGTAATTTCTTAAAATAAGACAATGATGAAGCTTGCCACAATGATTGTCTCTTCCTTTCACAAAAGATTTCTCTGTGGCATGCAATGCTGTTTGATGGCATTTTATGCACAGTCGGAATTATCTTAAAATTGAACTGAGTAAGGCCAGGCACAGTGGTGCTTGCCTGTAATCCCAGCATTTTGGGAGGCCGAGGCGGGTGGATCAACTGAGGTCAGGAGTTAGTGACCAGCCTGAATAACAAGGTGAAAGCCCATCTCTACTTTAAAAAAACAAAAAACAACAAAAAAAGCTGGATGTGGTGGTGCATGCCTGTAATCTGAGCTATTTGTGAGACTGAGACAGGAGAATTGCTTGTACCTGGGAGGAAGAGGTTGCAGTGAGCCAAGATTGCACCATTGCACTCCAGCTTGGGCAACAAGAGCGAAACTCCATCTCAAAAACAAACAAAAAATTGAACTCAATACTCTCAAACCTGCTTCCATCTCAAGAAGCCACTTTCTTTTTTTAATAAATAAGATGCAACTTCTCATTTGTTCAAGTTTCTCATGAGATTGTAGTTCAGTCACATCTTCAGTCTCCACTTCTAGTTCTCTTGACATTTCTACCACATCTTTAGTTACTTCCTCCACTGAAGTCTTGAACCCCTCAAAGTCATCCATGAGGGTTGGAATTAACTTATTTCAAACCCTTGCTAATGTTGATATTTTGACCTTCTTTCATGAATATTCTTAATGTCATCTAGAATAGTCAATCCTTTCCATATTTTCAGTTTATTTTGCCCAGATTCATCAGAGGATGACATCACTATCTATGGCAGTTACAGTGTTAGAAAACATATTTCTTAAATAGAAAGACTTGAAAGTCAAAATTACTCCCTGATCCATTGTCTGCAGAATAGATGTGTTAGCAGGCATGAAGACAACATTACATTCCTTGTACATCTCCATCATAACTCTTGAAAGACCAGGTGCATTGTCAATAAGCAGTAATATTTTGAAAAGAATCATTTTTTTTCTGAGTAGGTCTCAACAGTGGGCTTAAAATATTCAGTAAACAATGCTATAAACAGACGTGCTATAATACAGGCTTTGTTGTGCCATTTACAGAGCACAGGTAGGGTAGCCTTGACTAATTCTTAAGAGCACTACGATTCTTGGAATAGTAAATGAGCATTGTCTTCAACTTAAAGTCACCAGCTGCATTAGCCCCTAACAAGAGAGCCAGCTTGTCCTTTGAAGTCAGGCATTGACTTCTCCCCTCTAGCTATGAAAATGCTAAATGGCCTCATCTTTGAACAGAAGGCTGTTTTATCTACATCGAAAATCTGTTCCTTAGTGTAGCCACCTTCATCAGTGATCTTAGCTAGATCTTCTGGATAACTTGCTGCAGCTTTTACATCAGTACTTGCTGCTTCACCTTGCACATTAATGTAATGGAAACAGCTTGTTTCCTTAAACCTCATGAATCAGCCTCTGCTAAGGTCCAATTTTCCTTTTGCAGCTTTCTCACTTCTCTCAGCATCAGTAGAATTGAAGAAATCTAGTACCTTGCTCTGGACTAGGCTCCCTTGCTCTGGACAAGGGAATGTTATGGCTGGTTTGATCTTCCATCCAGACCATTAAAACTTTCTCCTTATCAGCAATAAGGCTGTTTCAGTTTCTTATCATTCATGTGTCCACTGGAGTAGCAATTTTAATTTCCTTCAAGAACTTTTCCTTTGAATTCACAACCAGGCACAAGACGCCTAGATTTCAGCCTATCTCAGATTTCAACATACCTTCCTCACTAAACTTAAACATAGCTAGCTTTTGATTTAAAGTATGATTTAGTATGCAACTCTTCCTATCACGTGAACACATAGAGGCTATTGTAGGTCTATTAATTGGCCTAATTCCAATATTGTTGTGTTTTAGGGGATAGGGATGCCTGAGAAAAGGGAGACAGACAGGGGAATAGTGGGTCAGTGGAATAGTCAGAACCACATTTACTAAGTCAGTCCACTATCTTTTATGGGCATAGTACATAGCACCCCAAAACAATTATAGTAGTAATCACTGATCACAGATCACCATTACAGATAGAATAATAGTAAAAAGGTTTGAAATACTGTGAGAATTATCAAAGTGTGACACAGAGACATGAAATGAGGACACGCTGTTGGGAAAATGGTGCCAACAGACTTGCTTGATGCAGGGTTCCCACAAAACTTCAATTTGTAAAAAATGCAGTATTTTCAAAGCATAGTAAAATGAAGTGCAAGAAAGTAAGGTATGCCTATGTTACCTTTTCATCTGGGGACTTGCCCATGAACCAGGAAAGAGAGAAAAAAGGACTATATTGTTTTCCTTTAGATATATATATTTTTTTAATTCTAGCGTCCCCACATCAATGTCTCCACTACTTCTTCCTTCCTCAAATTGTCTTCTAAAGAGTAATTTTTTTTTTTTTTTACTTTTTCTGGAAATACTTGGGTCAGCAACATTTTCTCAGAGGAACCGTCGACAGAATGGAGAATGATGCTCTTGCCAAAGATTTGTTTCTAAGGATGCCTTTCAAACATTTCTTTCTTTTTTGAAAAATGGTGCTCCCTAGTTGGTGGTTCTCAAATGCCACTCTTTCAAACCTTTTCCTGATGAGTGGCTGTAAAGAGCAGAACTGACTAATTCTGGTGTTTTAAATAAACATCTCTAAACATAATTTCTCTGGTCATTCTCTCATTTCATAAATAGTTATTTTCCAAAGGAATAAATGTAAATGTTATATATATGTGTGTGTGTGTGTGTGTGTGTGTGTGTGTGTGTGTGTGTTTTCTATAAAGGCTAGATATGCAATAAAAGAGAGTAGGTGGGATAGTCGATTGTATTGGAAACAGAGACACTTAAGAAAACCTAGTTATATTTGACTTGCTGCCTCGTTTTTCCATATACACAAGCCCAAATAGTCTAAGAGTCTGCAATCATTAGATGTAGTTAGTGGCCTCATACCTTCATCTTTACAGTCTTCCACTGCCTCTTCGGAAGCGGGGCCAGGCACCGTGACAGTGTTGACACCATCTATAAAGCAGAAAAAGAAACACTGTCTCAGAGCTCATCCTTCCAGAAGTCAGGCTGTGGCTTTCCTGCCCTGCACCTCCCTCCACTCTCCACCAGAGAAAGCATAAGCCTGCAGCACGCTTGAATACACTGAATGCTCTTTGAAGGGGCTAGTGGTTTGGGAATCTCTTTTATAGTTAGTGAAACAGGAACCTTCAGTTAAGTCAGAGACGGGCTACAATCTATTTTTTGGTGAAAAATGCTACTTGTTGCTAGTAGTATCCTTTGGCATTTTGTTTCTTCCTCATTCCTCAAAGGATGGTATATTATTTTTCTTGGTAACAGATTGTGAAAGAAAGTATATCCTTGCAAGTTCTTACAAAGTGCTTTTGTGTGTGTGTTTGTAAAGTTTGTTTTTTTCTTAGCACAGCACTACTGCTCCATTATGCCAGGCTGTCAAACTGCAGGGAGCAGCTCTGATGGCTGTCAGCACAGAGGCCGGGAAGAAGGGGAGCATTTGGCACAGGGCACCAGCAGCCACCAGGAACTTTCATGTCACCCGAGAACAGAAGGGGAAAATGGGGACTAAGGACGTGGAACTTTCTGTTCCTCTCACAGCACCAATTAACTGCATTAGAGTAGACCTCTCTTCTCAGTGTCATCAGCCCCTAGTGACTCTAGTCATGTTTGGCCTCCAAGATAAGAGCTAACTAGTCTACTCCCTCCCATTCAAACAGTAAATCTAGACAAGCAGGATTGCTAAAATCATTTGCAATGTTTAATACCTGATAACTGGAAAAGGAATATACATATATATATATATATACACACACACACACACACACACACACACACACGTTTTGGACAAAAGATGGGCTAGAAAAGATGTGATCTGTGATTTGATTCCAAATGTGTGTTAGTTTTTATGCATACATGAATTATTTTTAGTTCCATAACCCTGTTACTATAGAAAAAAGTATTTATAGAGTGTGCATGTGTATATATATACACACACACACACTATATATATAGTTTATATGTACAAATATATATAAACTATAGAGTATATGTAGTATACATATACATATAGAGTGTATATATAGTTTTTCATGTAGTAGCAGGTGAATACTGTATAGTTATACAGTTATAATAATAGTTATATATAGTTATATTACATATAAGTAATATCGTTTACATGTATAAATATACTATATATAAACTATAGGTATATGTAGATACAATACATATATAGTTGTATATAGTTTTTCCATGTAGTAGCAGAATGAACTATATATAATTTATATACTTTTAGTATATAATAGTGATATATACTTATATACAGTAGTTATGAGTTACTATATCTCCTGTAGTACATGAAAAACTATATTTATATATACACACACACACACACATTACATATGTGTATTATACTACATGGACTCTATAGTTTCCTTATATAGTTATTTTATACGATATTATGGCTTATACTTTTATACATACTATGTTCGTGGAACTAGTATATATAGTACATATGGCACCACACATCATTATAAGTCGCACGAGTTGTTTTTTGTGTAGTAGCAGAGTCAGGGAACTAAAGATAACTCATATATGCATGAAAACTAACACACATTTGGAAGCAAATCACAAATCACTTATTTTCTAGCCTATCTTTTGTCCATGGTGCATGTACTATTACTTTCAGGTCAAGTGTCCTTTGGAACATAATTCTCTGTCACTATCTCATCATTTAGATCTCATTTTAACTATCACTTCCTCAGAGAGTCCATCCCAAACCCAGGCACTGGAAAGTTGCCTTCTGGGCATTCCTTCTATGTTTCCTTATTTCTCAGCAAGGCATTTATCACTATTGATGTTTTTATCATTTTTATTTGTTTATTGTTTGGAACCCCCACCAGAATATAAATTTCAAAGAAACAGGGATGTTGTTTTTACTGATTGTTTATTCAGTGCCTGGAATGGTGCCTATGACACAATGAACCCTTGATATGTATTTGTTAAATTTTTTGGAAGAATATTATCTACAACTTTGATCTGATTTGATCATGACAACAGTCAAAACTGCTGGATTGTACTGTTTTAACATTGTGTTTTTTCATGACGTGTAAGAGGCCTGCAGAGCTATATAATCAAAACTGAAGCTGGAAATTATATTGAATGAAAATAAGATACTTTTATTTTGGAAAAATACTAGCAGGTCAAAAGAGCTTTAATGACCTATAACCACATCTTCGATTTATCTGAGCTCTGATTAGGGAGGATATGAAAAGAGCAGTGTGAACGTAACAATGTATGTTGACACTGGCCAGGATTATAGGTGGACTCTGCCATTGGCCTCTGTGCCAGCTGGCAAGCTCACTTGGAAGAGCAAGGTGAGTCACTCGGTGATGCATTTAGGACTCCTCTTCACATTGAGAAGTGCCCCTATTGTGGTGACAACGCTATCAGATTCAAGGGCTGGAGAAAAAGGCTGACATTCTGCCACTCCCTTCTCACAGGCAAAAGGATCTCAAATCTACAAACTGCTTATTCTCAACTGGTTAAAGGGAAAAGGATGAATAAATCAAACACAGGCAAATGTGAGTGCATGCATACACGTGTGTGTGCATGTGCGTGTGTGTGTGTGCATGTATGTACAGGGATGGAAAACAATCTTTGTCAATAAGGACAGTTCGGGGCTGGGTGTGGTGACTCACGCCTATAATCCCAGCACTTTGGGAGGCTTAGGGGGGCAGATCACTTGAGGTCAGAAATTCGAGACCAGCCTGGCCAACATGGTGAAACCCTGTCTCTACTAAAAATAAAAAAGTTATCCGGGCATGGTGGTGGGTGCCTGTAGTCCCAGTTACTTGGGAGGCTGAGGCACAAAAATCGCTTGAACACAGGAGGTGGAGGTTGCAGTTAGCCGAGATTGCACCACTGCATTCCAGCCTGGGTGACAGAGCAAGACTCCGTCTCCAAAAAAACAAAACAAAACAAAAAAACTGTGTGGGACAGAGTAGTGAGTGAATAAAACCTGTGTAAGCTCCACAGTCACAGAATGGCCTCAGCTGTCGGCAGTTAGTCGACTAATACTTGGCAGCCCCAAACAATAAAAACAGTGACAGCTTTTCACTCATCTGCTATGGAGCGTAATGTGTGGGTTGGGGGTGGGGGAGGGTTGGATAACAACAGTTTTCTGCATCAGAAATTCATTTTATTGCAAGGACTATGTTGCAGCGAAGGATGCCGGCCGACCCAGGTGCAGGTACACAAAGTCCTTGCTGCTTTGCTTCAGTGCTTTCTCTGATTGGCCTTCTTCAATTCGTCTTCCAGGTTAATAATAAAAGCTTCCAGACCCCTAGCAACATCTCCAAGGTTAATGCAAGAATTTTACAGCGAAAAACTTATCACACTACCTGGTTTAATTCCAAGAGTTCAGCATATGGCCTAGGATGTGCTTGGCAAACGGTAGGGCTCACTGTTTCAAAAGTGGCCCTTCATGGGCCTCATTACAATTGGGAGAATAACTGGGAAACTAAAGGGCACGGGGTTTTTTATTTTTATTTTTTTGTTGGTTATGTTGGTAAGTGAATGATTGTGCCTATCATTCTTTTAAAGGAGAGCATGGCTGAGTATAAAAATGGATAGAAAGAGATAATAAATCACAGGTGACTTCAATCCCTTTTGAGTCTTAAGTGCTATTTTATTTAAAAATGTTCAATTTATAATCTACAGTGTGGAATCTATAAACTTTCAATGGACACATCTGTCCTTTAGTGAACAGAGGGGATGTCAGGAAGGGTTTAGATCTTACTTAGAGCTCTGTGTGTGCGGTAGTCAGGCCCATCGCACCATCTCCTACAATATGCAGAGAAATAACCTGAAGCATAGCTCTTCAAAATTTAATGCAATACACTAAAGAACATTCTACTCGCTGTACAGGGCAAGCCTCTTCTTCATTTCCTTTAATCAGTTTTTATTTCATTTTTTCCCTCAAGCTAAATGTACAAATTTGAGCTTACCCTAACTCAGCCAAGCTCTGGCTTGGCACTTCCAACTTCCGCCCGGCCCTCTTAGAATTTTACCAGGCAAACTGTTATAGGGCAGAAAATGGAATTGGTGAAGGATGTGTGAAAATGTACCACTCTGTTTGAAAGCACAGTCAACTTATAGTTATCGGAGATGGTGGCTTCCTGAGGGAGACCTGAATGAACACTGGAATTCATCTGGTGAAAGCTATAAGCATTTTCAGATAATAATATTGAGTGAAGTTATTGTTCGCCTCTGCGGATAAGGCCTAGGCAGCTTCTCAAAAGAAATCCGAGCCTACCTGCATCTTGGCTCTGTCCTTCCGTCTCTTCCACACTTTGCTTTTCCTCTGGACCATTCTCATCTTTCAAGAAAACCACAGAGGAAAAAAAAAATGCATCAGGCCAACTTGTGCAATATCTCTTTATGGCTAATATGCAGCACTGAAATTAATTGTAAGCAATGTAGCATGACTGCCCATAAAGCCAGGCAGAGAGATGAATCAGAGGCATGAAACAGAAAAATTACCTACATAAATAGGTGCATTTATACTCATCCCTTCTCACATGATTTGCTAGATGAAATGTTTAACTGCGGTAAACAAAATTCACTCAGTGGTCCTGGTAACAAGTCTCTCCTTGCTTGGCATTTCCCAAAATATAATACAAACTTCAACTCCAGTCCACCTTTCTCCCTTGACTTAAGTAACATGCACTGTGTAAGGAAGGTTGGCTAAGTTTCTTGCCCTTTACTTCTCTGTGTGATATATGCTGTAAAAAAGGGTCAATTTTCACTTAACTTGCATATGGCAGTCTAACATACCTATGCTATAAAATATTTTGTCTTGAACAGATTATGTTGGTTGAATTTGTGCTATCATATATAATTATATGAAAAATAACTGGTCAGGTGCAATGAAGGCTGTATATTAGCAACTTTCTAAAACTTTCTTTTTTCTTAAAATAGCTACTATATCTGTGGACTTATCTGTGGAAATAATAAACTTTTTGAAGGTTAAGTAGTTAAGTATAGGCATGATTTTATAAGTCATTGCCGGGAGGGTCTTTTGGTTTGGAAAATGAAGCAGATAAAAATGATGAATTTATACAAAGACGTAAGAACAAAGTATAAAACATATAGTGAAGTACAGAAAAGAGAAGCAGAAGTTACCAACCTATATTCATGTGGGTTAAAAATGGCTACAAATGCTTTGTCTCTGAAGGAGTGGAGCCCATTCCTTCTCTTTAAGTCCTGACTGGCTGTGAAACTTCTTTAGACAAATATGATGGAATACGATGGAAGTGATATTCTGGGACCTCCAAGCTACCCTTCAAGAACTGGCAATCTCTACTTTCTACCCCTGGGAAGCCAGCCTCCATGCTGTAAAGAAGCTGAGGCTAGCCTGCCAAATAGAGGGCGACACACGGAGAGAGAGAGAAAAGATGTGTGGGGAGCATGAAGGGCCAGACCTGTGAGCCAAGCCTTCTTGAACCTTTCCACCCAGCCAGCTGCCAACCAAATGCAGCTGAGCAGTGACCTCAGCCAGTGTCACAAGGAGCAGAAGAGACATCCAGCTGAGTCCTTTAAAAATTCCTGACCCACGAGCAGGCCTGAATCACTTAACGTTGTTTTGCTTGAATGCTTTGACCCGCCATCTTCTCCTCCTATCAACTCTTAATTCTGAGGCAAGAGAATCCTCCCAAGAGGAGGCCACTAGTAGCAGAGCTGAAGCAAGAGCCTCAGAAGCAGTGGGGAAGCATTTCACCTGCAGCTCTGGAAAACGACCTATTGAAGAAAGTTTCAGATGGGGAAACATTTAGATTTGACCTAAATGGGGGAAAAAAAAGTTTATAATAGAAGGATAAAAAAAGAAAAAAGAGTTATACTCTGAGTTTGGCGAAGAATGCAGTCAATAAATATATGTACAGGATCCCCTGTGTTGGCTTAGCCCTGTGTCGTTTGTGATGGTGAACATAATATAACTACTTTTTGTTTTCTTTTGTTTTTTTATAGACACAGAGTCTTGCTGTGTTGTCCAGCCTGGAGTGCAGTGGCATGTTCACAGTTCACTGCAACCTTTAACTCTTGGACCCAAGCGATCCTCCCACCTCAGCCTCCTGAGCAGCTGGGTCTACAAGGCACATGCCACCAAGCCTGACTAATTTTTTATTTTTTTGGAGAGACGGGGTTTTGCTTTGTTGCCTAGGCTGGTCTTGAACTCCTGCCCTAAAGTAATCCTCCCACATCAGCCTCCCAAAGTGCTGGGATTACAGGCATAAGACACCACACCTGGCCTGAATATAATACGAGAACCTGGGGTGGCTCTGTATGCCACTTAAATTCAGTGTCCTAAATGGCATATTTACAAGTACCACATGATTATCTGACATTTTCCCTGTTCTGGTTCTCCATGAAGGAAACAGCATTGGCCTTTGCTCTAGGGAGGAAATAGTCACTTCTGCTGTTCTGCTGTCTTAACAAGGCCAAGTTGGTGCAGGAGCATGTGCCAAAAACTTAGCCAATATCTGTCCCTTTCCTCCCACCAAATGGTTTCAGAGTCAAGCAGGAAAGATCTGCCAGCTTCTCTGTCTCCTTCAACAGACAGGCCTTTTAACACACTTCACAATAGCCCTGACGTTTGCAAGTTACAAGTTTCCTTTAAAATTAGTCTGGTTACCACATCTTCTACAGAGTAGAGGTAGGGAGATTTCTTATGAAGAGAAGAAGATAAGAAGGGAAAGAAAAACAGAAATTAAATTACAGAAATGTGAGGAATTGGTTCCAATAGTTGTAAATGCATAAAAAGGAAATTCATGGTCAGACCCCGAAATCCAGCTTTCTGATAGTAACAACCAGTCTGGCAGTTTACCTAGTCTACTGCTTCTGGGTTTTTATCCTTAGTTCCCTTGTGTGCCACCCCCCTCGCTAGAACAGACATCTGAGTGGCATGCTTTTGTTTTCTACTTTGAGTCTCAGAGGCACAGTCTTCTATTTGCAGTATTTCTGCCCTTGGGAAGCAAACTCAAGAAACACTTGGCACGTTTATCACAGAGTGAATGCTTTCTAGAAGAATGCTGGATTTGCCATTCCAGTAGCATGCCCTTAGATAAAAAGGTCCAGTTATATTGCTTTCATCAATTTCCAAGACAGTGCATCCTCAAATCCAGCAGGGGGAACCAATGTAGAAGGCTTATTTTCCAAGCCCAGCGTACGCGTTCTTGGGCAATTAGATTAACATTCATTTCATTCTTTTAGAAGGACATTTTGGCTGGCTTAGAACTTTCCATCCATTTTAAATGCTGCAAATGGGTGAGTTCTTAGTGAAATAGGGGGCTTCCACTGGTAGAAAAAGCAAGGCACATTAACACAGTTACCCGTAAGTCTTTGATAAGGACAAGCTTTCTTTTTATCAGCCTTGTTTGTCTAGCTACCATCACAGGAAGCACATAAACAATAAAAAGTTAAGCAGAGGGATGTGTAAACTTGAGGTTTTTAGAAGGGATTTTAGAAGGGATTTTAAAAGGTTTACGATAAAGGTGAAGAAATACAGGGAAGTGCGAGGCTATTTTGTTAGCTTAAATAATGTCACATAGAAGCTAAATGTTCTTAGTTAATATTCCTTTAAGATCACATATTTACTTCAGATGATAAATTTCCATAGCATTCATGTTGAGTGTAATATAACACTTTACTTTCCCATGCTGAAAAAGCACAGAAACCTGTGAGAATTCTACTGGTTGTGTCCTTCTGATTTCTCCCGTATTAGTACTCTGCCTCCTACTCTTTCAACTAATAATTATCGAGTGTGTACTGTTTGCAAGAATGTTTCAGAAATTTTATAGAAATAAGAGGCTCCTGCTGCAACATGACTATGATAAGCAAGCTGTCCATGTTTAATTCTACATGGGAGAGTTTTGCAAGGGCAAAATCTCAACCACATGATCACGGATTGCTATCCTGATATTTGTAGTTCCTTTTGTGAACTCTACATGGTGATAGGAAGATAAAGGAGACATAAGTCTGAACAAATCCATCCCTATATGGGGGAAACAATCAGATGTGTACTTCCTGCTGGTATACTGTTGTCTTTTCTTCTAAAGGTCTATAGTTTTCTGGGCACAGACAGAGACATATATCGTGTCCTTCCATTGTGAGCAAAAAATATTTCCACGCCATTGATGTTGGACTTGACCATGGGACTTAATTTAGCTAATGAAATGCTAGTGGAGAGAATGTGAGCAAAGGATTTACATGCACTGCATAAAAGGATTTGTTTCTTGTGTTCCTGACATTTGCCATGACAAGAAGATGCCCCTGTAGCTCCTGGCTTAAGGAGGATGAGAGATACGTGGAGCAAGTTTGAACCCAAGTCACTGTCTGGAACTGAACCCAAGCAACTCACAGCTTGCAGTAGAACCACCCCACTGAGCCCAGCCTACATCAGCTGGACCACAGTTATCTTATAGACCTGTGAGCATGAGAATAAAAATTTTTGTGGTAGGGGATGCATTTTGGGGTGACTTATTGCACAGCATTATTATGGCAATAACTGATTAATACAGATGATATATTTATTTTTCTCAGCTCAGGAAGGCTTTAAGTTAACTTTAAAAAAAATTAGCTGTCTCTTATAAAAAAAATCCAGTCTTTAATTTTGTATTTCCCCATCTATATTTTCAACTCATACATTTCAAAATTCTCTAGAAGGTACATATTTGAAAAGTAAAATTAGCTGACATAACAGAGGAATGCTCTTAAAGGGTCTGCACTGCCATCAATATAATGATGTTTATGTTTTATTTAACTATAGAGCTATGTGAGCAACAGAATAATATTAGTTAATACCAGCTAACACTTACTGAATATTGCATATGGTCCACTCAGTGTCTAAATGCTTTGCAAAAGTTATCAAGCTTCATTCTCACAACAACTGCATGAGGCAGGTATTATTATCTGCATTTCATGGATGAGACAACTGAGACACAGGGGTGTTAAGATTCCACAGCTAGCAACTGATGGCAGCAGGGGACAGTTTCAACCCAGTCTTAGCTGATGTCAGGGCCTACCACTGCCTACTTAGAAATGTAAGTATTTGTTGTCTGGGTAAGATACGTCAATTATGAATCAGCAAAAATGTGGGAAATGATAATCTCATCTGGATTAATTCAATTAACATTGAACACAACAGACATTGAGAATCAACCCCTCTGGCTCTCATATCAGGTGAGTGCAGTGCTACAACTCTAAACTTTTGTGTTTAATGCTAAAGGCATTTTTATTCTGAAATAATTTTAAGCAACAGAAAGTTGCAAGAACGGGACAAGAACTCTTTTTTTCCTGGACCATTTGAGAGTAAGTTGCAGA